GTAAAGTAAGGTTGAAGAAGCCAACCAAATCATGGCATGACTCATTAAGATCGCAAGATTAGGCCGCAGCAGGCCACCTTTTTTCTTGGCTTAGTGCACTTTTGCTTTATTTCGTTCAGTATGCATTCTTGCTTTAATGCTACTAAACTGCGTTTAGAATTACTTCCAAATAGACATTCTCGTCCAGCCTAAGCCTCGTCTTTGGTGCATCAGCAACCCAAAGGATCAAAAACTAAATCATGCGAAAAGCAGCTGCATTTGTCTATTTATCATAGACCAGGCATTACATTCAAAACTAGCCAGGCCATCCCCATCCACATTTGTATTCTCATCATATTTGCATATATTACTAAGGGCATATTTAGTAGGCTACTTATTGTAAATGCCAGTTTGTAACGGCCTGACCTGTCCTGAAATTCGCAGTGATCAACAGTATAATCTTGTTGATGGAAGATACAGTTTGGAAGACAAAGTTTCGTAAATAAAAGCAATATATAAAAAAACGGATAGTTGCGAAATCCGATTACTACAAATAAAGGCATCATGAAACCTCTCACTAGTTTCATTTTGGAACCCGAAATGACAAGAGGTCAACATGTCATTCACTATTCAGGCTGAAAGTTTCGCCTCCTCATCCACTAATTATGATGTCATTGTGGCCTCCAGTTCTCGGGTGGAAGCGCTGCCGCTGCTTATGATGACGATGATGATAATAGTGTTGTTGATCGCCGTATAAAAATTGCCTCGTCTCCAAGAGCCAGTGTGAGTCCACCCCAATTTTTCGGTTAAAATCGTCTCTAAAACACTTGAAAAGGACGCAATGTACGAGAACACTGGAAAACTGCCGTGTCGACGTGGCTGCGGCAGTAATTGAAGCATCGGCTTGTCAATTGGAATGCTCAAGTCCATAAATTATGCTCTTGTCGCGGTCGAAAACCCTCGCTCCTGGACAGTGTTGGCAGCCCCAATATTTCCCTATCAGCATGTTGACCAAACTAATATGTCGTTCGGGTCCCGGGCCAACCGGTCGCTGTGTTGGCCCTCGATTTAGGCGTGATTTGGCATTTGCCGCCTCGCCTGTCTACACATTTCGCTCACACCACTCTTCCTCATGCCTCAACCCAGTGTGGTATGCTTCTGTAGCACACGGCCGTCTCCATGGCGGTTTATTTTTCGTCACGTCGTTCCGACCCCTATTCCCTCACTTACGGTCTACAACTCTTGCGCCTATCTGTCTCTCTCTGTGTGTTAGTGTGTGTGTGTGTGTGTGTATTGTCTACGAGGCGCATGCAGACACACAAGCACGTAGGCCGCCAAGTTGAGAGGGCCTGCCTACCTTCACACAAATACACACACACACAATCACACATGGACACACTCGGAACAATAGTCTTTGTATTTCTGTTGTCGGAGCGGTTGAAAGCAGCTGTGAATTGTGTCGGACCAGCCCATCTGTGTGCCGAATGGGTGGAGATGATGTGAACGCTGTGGGAGAATGTGGGAGAATGTGGGGACCGGACGAGAATGGCAGTCCTTTGTCGTTTTGTTTGTCCACCAGACCTCCTT